GCTGGTCAATAAGCAAAGGAATGTAAGATCTTGCGCACTCGTCATCTCTCAAACTGTTCGGACAAACGAGCAGAGAAGCGCGTCAAGCAAAAACAACTTCACTCTTGTCTACAACCATCTTGTACAACAAGCGGCCCCTGCCATGCATCAAATTGTACTCCGTCCACAGGGCCACTCTGGTCGTCTTGCCAAATGCATTCCAACGGCCATACACGCCATGGCTTTGCGCCGAGAATTGGAATGGTTAGCCGAGAACAGCGCTGATGGCCACAACCTGGTCAGTGGAACTCTGGGAAAGCCATTTCGACGTGTTTTGAAGGTGCCTCTTCCAGCCTTGCAACTGAACTGCGACTTTCGAGGCTTGTCACAAGCCATCATGGCTTAAGCGTGCTGCACTTTGTTCCGGGCTCCCCTTTTGCTATGCTCAGTGCAAGGAAGCTCTCAGAGCCAAACGGAAACTGGGAATGGATTCCCTCGAGCACCATTTGCCGATAGGGACTTGCATCTGGATCAAAATGCTTTGTATTCCCCATGACACCAGGGTGTGTCAGCGCATGGACACGCACAAGAAATAGCTCGGCAGCATTGCGCAAATAAGAAGAAGCGTGGCTTTCCATTCTGGGAAGAACAACCCTGACCGTACGCATCACAGCAAATCGATTGACGCAACAAGCTTCTCACTGACCAGACTCCCCCTTTGAGCTGTGCTTGGTCTGTGTTGCTGCGGCAATTACGCTTCAGAGTGCTACTGTGATACTGCTTGTACTTGAAGCTCATACAAACAACGCCACGTGGATTTCCAAGGCAAGAAGACCAAGCCTCGCTGAGACACTGTCTCTGGTGCCGGCTGCAACGCACAAAATCTCAGGCCCCAAACGGCACCCGACTAACACTTGATCAACCGATGGCGTATGGATAGCTGAGGGGCATGATGGTTTAGAGGCGCTCGGCTTATCTTGCTCTCAGGCTGAGGTTGTCTTACTTGCGGCGAAGTGGGATCCCGCGCCAGTCTCCACAGCAGCATGTCTGGTTTAATGACGAGGGTCCCTGAAGACAAGCGGCCGATTGGACACCCTCACGCGCTTTATCAGCAGGTCGCAAATCCAGGAATGATGACTTGCCAATTCCATGCTCCAAAATGAGATTCTGTGGGGCACCTGGATTGGGGTTGAGTCCAATCTCCGCGTCTCGCCTGCCACCAGCATCCATGCCCCTCAGAATGCAATTCTCGCGCAACACCCCACTCCCCCCCGAAAGAGCCCACATGCACGCGCGCCCCTCAAACCAACCGTGACCTCTCTCACCACCCGAGGGCATTTGAAGGCACGGCGCAGATTGTGGGCACGCCAAAGGCGAAGAGGCAGCAGCTGTCGCTGCTTGGCTTGGATCATGTGCCCGCATGATTTGACTTGAGCAAAAGCTGCTCGCCAAGGCTCGGGGTGGTAAATACCATTGCTTTTCGCTGAGGCTCAGGCAAGCTTAGAACACAACAAGGTGCTCCAAGTGCTGGGACAGGCTGCAAGTTCGGTCGCAAGTTCGGTCACCTAAGTACTTGTGAAGCAGGCATCCACGCCGTCCGAGTACATCTGGGATCCATCCAGCTTCACTCTATCGGGCGCATGCACCGGCAAACCGGAAAACCACCCCAAACAGCCGCCCGACGCGTTCAAGGACTCGTGCGTTGGGCTCGAAGAACTGCAGACTGCAGGACTGTAGCATGAGGCTCAGCTTCCCGCTTCGAGCTCTCAGCCCGCTTCGTGTCCCGGTTAGGTCACATGGTCGGCAAAATGAGTAGCTTGCAAAGGAACCGTCCCGCCCACTGGCATGACCGCCAACACAGGCATTGTATAGGTGCTGCAACCTCGCGGCGTGGGCAGAACATGACCCTGACAAACAAAATCCAAAGGAGGGTTAGACAAACGACTGCCTAAACATGGCAAAGCAACACCGTGTCACTCAGACTGTTTCCAGATGCAGCATTCAATGCCGTGCGCAACTGCTTTTGGCAGAAGCGGCAGCCCAGCAGCTGGTTACGGGGAAGCAAATGGCAAAAGGTGTTGACCTAGAGACAGCCTCCTGCAAGCTTGATTCAGCAGGAGCTTTAACCTAAATAAAACCGCGTCCCACGTCACGCGGATGCGGTTCTTGGACAAAAACACATCCTTGCCTGACTCAGGGCAAGGGATTGTATGCAAGCCTGCGAAAATAACGGTTTACAGGACCATAAATATGCGCTGTGCGGGATACCAGCCTGCTGGCAAGCACATCAAACAGGGCAAAGTATGATTCTGAGAGCGCAGTGTGCGCAACATGCGCATGGCACACCAACCAACTGCAACTCACAATTTGCCATGCCGGTGGTCACTGCCTCACCACACATTCAAGAGCCTCAAGGCCCTCTTGCGAGGCGCACGGATCCCCGGCAACCTCGGCACCTTTGGATCCTCAGAAGAAAGTCCCTGGGAGCCATACATGGCCAAGGATGCGTCCAAACTGGCGCTCGGCAAGGAGTGGACATCGGGAGTCCATCAGCCCTCGTTCTTTTGACCAGAAATTCCTCTAGGACGCAAGGGAGCTGAGTAAACTGAGCACCAGGTGTCCAAAGACCCTACACTTTGGCAGCGACTTTGGCTCCAAACTCAAGGCGATGGGCATTGCGTGGCACGAGCTGATTGCACCTGGCATACCTGACCACGCACTCTTGCCCCAAGCTGATCGCGCTTCCACAGGACCAAAAGAGCGGCTACCTGTCAAGCACCAACCAGGCCACATGTGCCATGCAATCCACTTGATTGGTACATCCAATAGGTAAAGAGGCTAGCAGCTCTTCTTGAAGTTTCACCATGGCACGTGCTGGGGTTACTTGCTACCTCGCTTCTTTTTGTGGACCACACAGCACATAAGTGAGACAAGCAAGCTGCGTCTGAACACGCAAGATGCATGCTGCAATGCCTGCCATAGGTAGGGTGAATCCCAGTGGATGCAAGGCACGCTTCGTGCCGCATTCCTCAGCTGCATCATCAAGTGAGTCGCAATGAAAACCTGGTACTAAAATGGCCTACCCAGAACCATGTACAGGATTAAGAAGGCGGCCGCAGCTATTTATGGTTGGGATCGTCCCTTACTAAGCTTCATCTACCCGGGTTTTGATTGTGGCTCAAGTTGAGCAGACGCAGTCGGCGCCGTGCACGCCAGGGTTTCACAACGCGTTGGAAGGGCTGAACGGAAGGCGGCTGCCTTGAACTAGCCCAAACACATGCTGAAGCGGCTTGGACAAATTTTCAGTTGCCTAACAACAACGGGTGAGCAAACTGGCATGAGACTTCACCCGTCCAAAGCATCAAAAGAGGTGCGCTGAACTCGCTGCCTTGCAAACAGCGCTTTCAAGGCTTTCATGCGTCACTGGGAAGGACCGTATGCTCACCGTGTATCGCAGGTGGGCCAAGGCCTAGTGGGCATGGGAACGCCAGCTTTGTCACGCAGCTGAGCAGCACTAAGCTGGGCATGAGGATCTGGCGCCGTGCAACGTCGGAAGGAAGACGTAGAGAACTCTTCTGCAGGCAGCTTCCCGGCGAGACAGTCCAAAAGTGCTGGGGCAAGCGGCCAAGTTCCTGTAGCACGACAACCTCATGCAGCAACCCTTTCTGTGACGGCAGAAGAGCGAAGGGGTAACCCTGAAGACCATGTCACGTAGCCGCACCAGGCTCATGCCCACATTTGCATCGCATTTATTGTTCCGGTTGCCGTAAGTCGCTCTGTAAATTGCGACTTAAAATATCATGCTGGGGCATCGAAAATCTGCAACCCGCAGCCGCATAGTCTAATCCGAAAACCACATAATCCGCAATCCGCTAATCATTCGGGATTAGGGTTTGGACAAGCTGGGCATTGACAGTCACACTTTCACAACGTTTTATGTGCCATCTATGACCTCCGCGCTATATCAATCTCAAAGATACTTCACTTTCTCTACGGAGCATGGCCTCGCCTTGGCGAGCAAGAGCATCCTGAGCCGCAGCTAATGCACGAGGACTGACGCAGTGAGAGTCTGGGCGGCACATGTTCTCTCCTCACCAGGGAGTTTTGCGATTTTGAAGGCAAGAGAAACTTTTGTGTTTCTCCAAGCCCTGTGTGGATGGCATGGACACGGCCCTCTGCTTGCCGGCAGTTCTACTCCGACAAGCCCTATCGGATTCAAAGCAAGGACCTGGACCGTGCTGGCACGAGAAGTTCTTCCCACGCCACTGCAAGCATTATGAACTCATAAGGTTCCCGAATCGGAAAGGAAAGGACGCTCTGCGGCGGGCAGGACAAGATCAACGACCACGAAGGATCTCCGCTATCAGATTCCAGTATCGGATGGTATAAGGATCCAACAGCTGCAGCAACATGTGCCCTTAGCACGAAAGATCAAGAAAGCACAGGAATTTAAGCTCACTAGTTTCACGCTTCCATTCTTGGCACCCAGCTACGCCTAAGGGGCCTCCGGCATGCTTGATCCAGGCGGGCAACTTTCGCTCTGAGGACGCTTTGCTATATGGTCCAGCAAAGCACCAACTCAATGCATCGGCGTCCGCGGATGGCAAATGCAAGAACTGACATCCCAGGCCACTCAAGCACCTGCCTTTTGGTGGGTACTTGCACGACGTACAACCCACCAGCGACTTTGTGTGTGTGATCTTCTTCAACTGCGTTGCAACCCCTTCCATTCACTAAGAACACTGATGCTGGCACCACGTTACGCATGCATCTGACATGGCTCATCATTTGTATTGCAATTGAGGCGCTGAGAATTGGTGTTCACCCAACAAAAACTGATATAGCATGAACTCTGTATCCTGGGTAGGCGGTGTCAACAGAGTCCGTTCTTCTTGAAGAGTAGATCAAACAAGGTCGATGTGTTGACGCAACAGCATCCCCAAATGAATGAAGAAGCAACATCGTTGACACCCTTCTTTGACAAATCACTGTCCCATTGGCCCAGAACTGTGCGGACTTTTTGCCGCACTCAGAACCGCCGCACGAGCTTTGCCAGCTCGTTGGCTAAGGCTTCGCACCTGACAGGCAAGCATCAGGGCAATCAAAATGGCACTTGACAAAATCTGACCAAAGGGACCCGCTTGTTTTCTCATGTCGGACATGGGAAGTAGGGCATTTCACCTTTCCACTCAAGTCAACGACAAGTACTCATGGTGCCGATTGCCGAATCCCTATCCCAAGATAGATAAACCAAGTGAGCAACAAGGGACAGCCTACAATATGAGCCTGGTCAGAATTGCTGGTTTCCCCCAGAGGGCCCCCGGTTTTTGGTGGGGAAAGTTAGTGAGCCCCCCAATGTCCCTCAAAAGGACCACCAGCTACCAGTATTGTTTTGCCAAGCCTCAAGCGCTCATAGATTCAATGGGCATCACTTGTGGGATTGACAAAATGCTGGGCTCATGAGTTGACGAGGTGCGCAAGAGAAGCCCAGCCCCCGGCGAACGTGTCTATCGACATCAGCACATCATTGGTGAAAGTTCATGCACGACTTTCTTCAGAACAAACTGTGTATCCAAAATCAAAGTCACAGGTGGTTTGTGAATGGCAAGCAACGTGAACGAGTCCACATTTATTATTTGCGCCGGAAGATGATCCACGGCGATTGTGACTCCAGCGATGCAAAATGCCCTTTCCGGCCTCGTGCTGCTGTTCTGAAACCACATGTGGCCGCCATCCATCTCTATGACCTCCCGGCAGGAGAAACTCAAGCGCATGCGCCAACACATTGAAATTATAGGAATATTCGAGCAAAGCCACTGAATGTTTCTGTCACGTGGCACTTGACAAGATGGAATGACTCTCTTAACTCCATCTTTTGGCCACTCTTATCCTGCAGTTGCCGCAAATCGGTGTTTTGCTTCGGCTGGCTGCTTTGGCACAATCGGGAATCATCTGCTCTCAATGTGACAAGCTTTGTGTTTGCCACCAAACTGTCTTGCAAAGAGTATAATCAAGTCCAGACACTGAGGGAGTGAGAAATTGAGCACTGCATCCAATTGGACCCTAGCCCGAAACCAATTCTACGGGGTCCAAAGCTATGCGCAGAAGCGACATCTGCGCCTTGAAGCTGTCTGGGTCCCCCGAGAGGTACTGCCAAGCAGAAACCTGTGCAAGGGACCTCGGAGTCACGGGATGGCCATGTGGTCCATAGCCTTTGTGTTATGGAGTTGCCAAATGGCGCGCTACAGCTTTGGCGTGAAACTAAAAAGAACTAGAATTGACCTCTCGTGCCAACGCAAAGCCCGTGTCCTGCGTTAAGCCAAAAAGGCCACTTCAGCTTTGGAATCAATTTGTATCCTGGGTTTACATGCAACACATGCGCGGAATACATCAGCTACATCCACACCAGTCCATACCCGCGACCAGCACTCAGCACCCCGACACAGCTGCGTCCTCCTTCCCGAAGAAGGCAACTGGCCCAAGGAGCATGGATTTCCATTGAGCACCCTGGCTTTTTTTTTCGGACAAGCTATGTACTCCGGCAGGTTCGCATGTCCTGCTTATCTGCCAAACATGGCCCAGCCAAATCAAAGCCAGCTCTTCGAAAGGGTAATCGCTACATGTGAGTCCGGCAGCCACTTTTTACATTACGCAGGCTCTTACACCCGATCCATGTTTGGCGGAGACAATGATCAAAGGGTAGTCGTGGCACTGCGCAGATGTTTTGACACACAGTCCAACGCCTTGTGAGCCCTACGAATGACGGCTGCATGTACACGCTTTCAAGTAGTTTCCTGAAACACTGACATTGCTCCCCAACCAAGCACCTTGAGAAGAAGATTCGGATCAAATAGCAAGGTCCCATTTGAGTTTTACTGTATGTCTTGCTGTAGTCCCTTAGCCACGCCGCGTAGCCCCTCAACACGGCCACCAAGCTGCACCAGCCTATGGGACATTCCAGCGGCTCGTCCGCGCCCGGCAGTGGAAACTCCTGCAGAGACCGGATGGCAGCTATGCTGAACGTCCATTTTGTCAAGACTAGTTGTCAATTTCGCGGGAATGTGCAGTGACTTAGAATAACGGGCTCCATCATGGTCGGCTGTTTGGTCTTCGTAGACAAACCGGTAAAGACGGGCGTCTTTGATCGCTTGTTGACCACTGCTGTTGTGAAAAGTCCGTCAAAAGCACAATCGGCACAGGCATGTCACCGCGTGCACACTGAAAACAGTAGGCGCAAGACATCCAGGCGCAAGACATGCCTGCACGTCTTGTGCACAACGCAAGGGACATTGCGTGCTGATCGATGCCCATCTGAAAGTTTGCCTGATCGAGCGCACACGATATCACACGATTGTGTGTGTATGTTGATATATACATATATATATATATGTGTATATATATATATATATGTATCTGTGAATCTGTGTGACTGCGAGTCTGTGTGCGTGTGTGTTGGTGTGTGTGTGTGTGTGCGTGTGTGCGTGTGTGCGTGTGTGCGTGTGTGCTTGTGTGCGTGTGTGCGTGCGCGCGTGTGTGCTTGTGCGTGCGCGCGCGCGCGCTGCGCGCGTTTGCGCGCTCGTGCCCGTGCGGTGCGGTGCGTTGCGGTGCGGTGCGGTGCGGTGCGTGCGTGCGTGCGTGCGTGCGTGTGTGTGTGTGTGGGTGCGTGTGTGCGTGCGGGTGTGTCTGTGTGTTTGGCACCACGCTTTGCAAGTTGCGGGAGGTCTTTGGAGGCAAATGCCATTGCATACCTATTCAAACAGCATCTGAAAAGCATGAGAGACCATCCTCACGCACAAGAGTTTGCGTTGCTTGCTGAATAGCTCTGAATGCTTTTAACCTATGATCATGGATTGTGATAGTTTGGTTTTTGAATCTGATAGTTTGGATTTGGGGGGGTGGATTTCTTGTCAAGTTGCAATGAGAAGTGATAGCTATGCATAATAAGGACTTTTTTCATTCCCTGCACATGGAGTTCGCATGCTTGAGACCAGGATCGATCACATTAAATCAAGTATATGTGTATAATAGTACATGGTTGCTGTTTGCATGTGATTTGTGCCAGGTGATGCCTTGTGATCATTTCATGCATCATGCTTACTCTTTGAAGGCATCACCAGGACCACAAATCACATGACCCATCAATCCTGGTTCAAGCATGTGAACCCTGTGACAGGGAAAGGAAACTTGTAGCCTAAATATTTGGGATGGGGGTTGTACAATTTCAAGTCATTGAAACACAGCCCTTGTCACATGTTGAGCCTGTCAGTACTTGGCTATATTGACAATTTTACAGAATCCCAATATGTGACAGGGCTGCATTTCAATCTGATGCTGTATTCAGCAGGCAGTCTGAAAGGGTGATCTGTATCACTAGTTCTTTCATTCACAGAATTGTTTCCTGTCAGGTTGGAAGCTTTCTGGGTTATGCACTCATGCAATAAGAAACATGCTCCAACCAACGAGGAAACAATTGGGACCTGCAGATAACCCTTCAGATGTACCGTGCTGAATTTGTAGCGTCGTTGAAAACTAGCTCGCCGCCCTTTTTCCACTCCGGCTCACTGTACTGTAGCAAGCTCACCTCAGAAAAAGCCACACATCCACACATCAGGCTGGGTCATAGGGTGGGAGAGAAGGGTGGAAGGACCTGGGGCTGGATTTTGGTCAAGATTGGAAATCAAGGTCTTGCCTAGTCTCTCATTTTGCAGTTGGCCCCAGAATGTATCGCAAATAATTTCCATGACATCCAACAGCCAAGTGCATTTGATTTGGCCCTTCATGTCCTTCACGTTGTTTGGGCCTTCAAGTTGTTTGGGTCTTCAAGTTGTTTGGGCCTTCGACTTGAAATCACAATCGCTGAGCAGGTCTAGAAGCTATGAACATGTCCCCTGCATGGGTACCACCAGGAACGAAAGGCACAGCAATACTATGAAGGATGATGTGCATGTACCTAGCATGTCCTCACATTGTGTCACATGCATTTTGCAGGCACCTCATGAACACTCCTCACCATTTTGGCCAAACAACTAACTCATCAAGCTCATGCCAATTTGCTTTTAATATTTGTATGGATGGTAGGAAAGGGATAGTGCACCTGCCAAACACCTGCTGGATGTGGGGACCTAGCTTGCACCCAAGCCCTGAGTTGGCTGTCAATATTCAATTCAGAGGCTCAATGCAGTGGACATGGACACACGCATGCATTGACAGCATTTTGCACAAAACAGCTTTGGCAATTGACAGCTTTGGCATTGACAGCTGAAGCAAGTAACATAATTTTGCACTGGACAGCTTTGGCAATTAACAGCTTTGGCACTCGGCGCTTCACAGCTTTGGCAATTAACAGCTTTGAAATGGCACTTGACAGCTTTGGCAATTAACAGCTTTGGCACTTAGGCAAATAACAGCATTTGGCACTTGACAGCATGAGCAAATAGCAGCCTAGCCACATGACAGCTTAGGCAAATAGCAGCTTAGGCAAATAGCAGATTGGGCAGTTGATCTTTGGTGCCATGAAGCGGCCTGCGAAGCGACTCCGAACGTTCTCGGTGCATGAGTCAGCTGCGCAGCAGATGGTGGACACCATGGGAGGTACCATCTTGATGGGCTGTGCGCCGAGGGGCATGGACGGCTTCATGGAGATCGGGTACAACTCGCGCTTCGACCCAGACCCGGAGGCGGCACCCGTGCGGCCAGACGAGGTGATGGTCCGATTTGGGCCTGATGATGCAGTTGTCCTGACCGGCGGGGCTGAAGAAGCTGAGCCTGGTCAAGGTGAGCCTGCTGAAGCAGCTGAAGCTGAGCCTCCTCAAGGCGAGCCTGCTGCAGAGCCTGCTCAAGGTGAACCTGCAGAAGCTGAGCCTGCAGAGGACAAGAAGGCCAGCTGAAGTGCAGAAGGCCAAGAAGGAGACAGAAGAGGCCGAAGCTGGGAGCAGGCCCATTCGTTTCACCATGCATGGAGCCTTTTGCACTGGAGAGAGAAAGAGATAGGGAGTGGGAGAGAAAGAGAGAGAGAGAGAGAGAGCGAGCATGGGCATTGCATTCAAAATGCAAACCGACCAATGAACTTCACCATTGGCTGAAGGGATACCCCGAGACTCCAAGCAATGACCTTGCAACAATTGCACCCCTTCATTCCCTTTATTTACACGGATTTGTCCAGCCAGGCCTCACCAAGTTGAATTTAAGTGGCACCCAAGTTATTTGTCCAGTTGAATGTGCATTCTGCCAGTCAAAAGTGTTTCCATGATATCTGGAGGAGTGATGGAGCACTGGTTGGATGTTGAACCATCTTTGACACACGGCAGCCTTGCCAATCTGTAGCATTTCGTAGCATTGCTTCCACAACAAATGCAATATTTTCAACAGCTGACACTTTTCTTACCAGTGTCTTAGGCATTACCAAAAATATAAAAGCAACAAATCTTCTCCCGCGCCAGGTCATGGGTTCCGGGCTGGAGCGGCTTCATCTCAGGCCTGGCGGAAAGTTCAGGGCAAGCTGACAAGTCGCACCAGTTGACATGCTAACAATTAGGGCTGCATTACATGAGTAAGTTGGCATCAACACATGCGCTGAGAGGAACTAGTTTGGGCATGCTTGTTTGGTGGTTCTAAGAACTGTGATTTTGTCATAGTTCTGAATCTCAAGCATACCAGTGCAGATAGTCAAGCATAGCTCCATGACATTGCCAACCATGGCAGCTGTCCAAGATCTTACTTGCAGCTGAAACTGATGTTTGACCATTTTGACCCTGGGGGTGGGGACATTACATGATGTACCAGCACAGTTGTCTTTTTAAACTAGAGGTGCTTGATGATAGACTGCATCAAGTCTCAGTTTCAGCCACTTCGTATTGCCTGCTTGAAATTGTTGCAGTGGCAAATGACTACCGGACAAGACACACACACACACACCACCAGGGCAGCATGCTGCCTCTTCAAGCTTGCACATGCTGCTCAATGCAACCTTACACAGGGCTAGTAGGTCGGCTTGCGTCTCACATGCCTGCAAACCTACACACTACGCCTGGCCTGACATGGCATTTGGAGCAAGCAAGCTATTGCAGCAGTTGCAGATAGCACCTTGAAAGTGCATTCAAAAGGGCAGGCCTGATGGTCCTTGCTCACGTGTCAGTGCAAAGTCTATCAATTCTGAAATATTGTTGGAGGATGGAGCATATCCTTATCGACTTCAGGAATGGACCAGTCTTATAATTCCCAGCGCAATCAGGCCTGATATGATCGAAGTCAGTGCCTGTGATGTGCTCCTCGTGAACCTATGTGGAAAGACCCAAAGGAAGCGTTGCCCATTGAAGCTCCGGACATGTGAGTGAAGCAGCATCATGGCTGGTGAGGCAGCCTAGCCCATGCAAAGAAGTTCGCTTTGGGTCATTTGCATAAACAACAGCTCTTTGAGGAAGGGTGTGATTGCATCGCAGTTTTGCATTTGGGGCTCAGCTTGCTTTGCAATGGCGGGCACTCGGCTGGACATCTCGTCGGAGCTGGTGCTGCAGTACATTGTGGCCAGCGGCATGAACGGCGAGCAGCCCATGGCCATGTTCCAGGCCTTCGTGGAGGAGGGTGCCACGGAGATGGCCAGGCATCCTGGCACATGTTAAATGTGTCAATCATGATTGTGATCCCTGAACATTGAAAACCCGAGGATGATGGAGGTGGCCCTCGAGCAGAGCAGGTGCATAGCACGGGTGCAGGAGGTGCACAAAGAGTCCCTTGATTGCACCTTCAAGAGAAAGTATTAAGTGGGGACAAGGGCAGTGTGGGCACTTGCAGACTCAGGACGTACCCACCTGGCAGCTTCGCAATCTCGGCCGAGGCGTTTGACCAGCACCCGTGCTTGAAGCTGCTCAGTCACAAATTGACAAGAGTGTTAAGGATAAGTGCCTAAGTGTCCAATGGGGCAACATGCTTGAGTCACCTTTGGGGCTTGTCCTGCACTTAAGGATCTGCCATGCCCAGCTCATGAAGCAGATCCAGTCGCGGGCTGGGCAAGTTCGGATGGGCAGGTCCACGACGCCGGCTGAGTTGTGTGAAAGGATGAACCGCGAGCTGGTGAACAGTGCAGAGCTTTGCCTGGTTCCCTATGGTGCCTCAGTTGCTCTTTGAACCAGCCATGCCAAGAGGTACATCATTTCAATCGAAAAACATGTTCTGTGATCTTGATGGCCCTTCCTTGCAATTATCACACTGCCAATGCCACTGTAGCCGACACGAATAATGTCTAATGTCCGTTGTTCTGACAGATAAAGGGTGATTGGGTGATTTTCTGATTATTATTTTCGTGCTGGTGGTGGCGACGGCAGAGAAGCCAATTCCATGATGATGTTCATGTCCAACTAGACCTCGATGGCACGATTGCCATGCTGTCAGTTTGAGCTGTCTAGTGTGGCATTCATGCATCAACAACTACAAGTGGGATGGTGAAAATTCAGAAGTTTACATGAATCATTGCTGCCTGGTGCCGTGGTGACTGCGATGACGACAATGGTGGTGATGAACATGCTGCTGCTGCAAAAACACACGATTGAAACATGGTTAGTATCTGCAGGTATGACAGGCACAGAGGCATGTTGAACATGACGATGATGAGAATGACCATGATAAGGATAACAATGATGATGATGACAATGATGATGGTATTGATGATGGCCGTGATGATGATGATGATGATGATGATGACAGTGAATATGATGATGATGGTTACTCTGCTGATGATGATGATGATGATTCGATGGTGATGATGATGATCATGGTGATGATGAGGTAATGACACTTATTATACTACTGAAGACACCGGTAGCACAGTGTTCATGATTATGTTCTTGACTCATGGTGATGGCGATGGACTGTACTGTTGAGCGCACATGCATGCACTGAAGCTGATCATGCTGCTAGTGTTCATCACAACGATGCTGATGTTGCCAGGGCTCATCATTGAACGAAGGCAGTTCAGTTTGCGCCAGCCATGAAAGAAACACGATGATGATGAGGCTGGTGGTGGCGAACATGATGATGATGATGATGATGATGATGGTCGTGGTGGTGGTGGTGGTGGTCATGCCATATATGATGATGTGATGACTATTGGTTGCATCAATGTACCAATTCTGTTGACACTGGCAACGATGGTGATGATGAGGATGCCTGTTTTGTTTTGCAGCACCCTTTGCAGTTTGTGGTTCTATGATTGCTAAGGATAAAGGTGATGATGATGATGTTGATGATGCTGAAGATGGCTGCAGTGATCAATGCGGGTAGTAAGATGCTGACTGTGTTCGGGTAAGCAATGCATTGAAGGGCACCGCCTCAAGACTTAGGTGGAGTGTGGTATGCTGCCATGACAAGCCACAACAACGACGAGATCTTCCAGGTGGCCCCAGGACGGTGAGCTAAGCAATTCAAAGCATTTAGTTGTGATGGTGTTCCAGTTGCCGGCATCGCAGGAACCAATCAGATCAACTTCAGCTGTTGGGGCCTGTTCTTGCAGCGCGCCTCGTGAGCGGAGCCTGGGCCGGCCGGCAGGCAGTGCACCTCAAACAAGAAAGGCAATCAAAGCAGCAAAGGGCCCAATGACAATTTGACTTGCAGCTTGCAGTGCTTGGAGCTCCATGCCACTTCTGTTGCTTTGCACACTGAATGCAGCCGGGGCAATATGAACCCCTACTTTGAATCATGCACGTTTCCACGTGCAAACATGTGAAGGAGTGCCACCAAACAAGCTGTGTGATGTCAATATTGATTAATGGGCCAGTCAAGGTCGTGTCAGACATGATTGGAAAGTGTGGATGCTGCACAAAACAGGCTTCAGTTGCATTGGCTGGCACTCACTTCTGCAGCATCGATCTTGAGGTAGTTGCAGTGACATTGAGTCAGAAGCGGCGGCAACAATCTGGAGAAAAAACATCGCATGGTCTGGAGCCAACACATCGAACGTGATGCAACCAACCTGCATCTTCGAACATTGCCTGCTCGGCCCAGGTCTTCCTACATCTACATCTACAATGAGCAGCAATGCCAATCAAGGCAGGGGTGAGCTTCAGCCAGTACCATAGTCAGCCAACCCAAAACTAGAGATTCCCACGACTGAACTTGTGGTTGACACCGAACTCTCAAAAGGGTATTAGTGTTGTATCTGTCAATTAAGTGTGCCAATGTGGTGGGCAAACATGATTCACAGCATGTGTCCTTGCTGCTACTTCTTTGCGTGTAATGTGTAAATCTTTGTTATATTGAAACATACATATGTTGGCTTCGGCCAACATGCCTCCTTGCTATATCTTGATGGGGACAAGGCAGCAATAGACCTTGCAGGTAAAAATGAGACTCTTCTGGGGTGGGTCTCAGACCCTAGTTCTGGCATGCTGACTCTTTGCAATAAGACATGTGCACTGCGAACCTGCAACCAGTTGAGCTGAGGGAGGCATCATCTTTCAAGGGAGGATTACCTTTTTTTTCACCTTCTTCCACTATCATCAGATCTCTCAAAAGTACCTTGATGATTTGGTTGTCTCCAGTGAAAAGTCCAGCAGCACTCTATATATATATACATATATTCATGAAGGCGCATTGAAATCACCTCTTTGCAAGTGCTGCAGGAGAGCCTAGGCAAATCCGACCTGCATGACTATTTCTCGGACAATCAGTGCAAGATGTGGGCAGTTTCGTGTGGTGTTGCCATTGAAAACAATCTCAACAGGATGTCCTCCAAAAAACGGCACACAGAGATATTATTTGATGCAGTTGTGTGTGTTATGTGTTGTGTAACTAGGGAAATAAATGGAACTGGGATGTGCGCAACTCCTCGTCACCCGCCTTGATGTGCCAGGCTGAACAGTGTGGCTGTCAAGGCCTTGCAGAGCAAGGCTGGGCT